TCAGACACATACAATCAAGAAGTAATCCAGTACTCAAGATTAAGAAACACTACATCCATTTCAAAGCTCCTTATTCAGTATAACCGCACAAGAAAAGAAAAAAAAGAAAACCACACTCATTTAATACTCTTGTTGACTGAAGTTTACAACACCACAAAAGAAATTGTTTTGCTCCCATTAATTCAGATAAGAGATGAAGCGGGGTAGGGCTGATGGAAGAGGAGACAGTAATATTTTAGATGGTAATATTTTAGAACTGGATCAAACATTTCCTTATTCATTTCTATCTATTTTGAACGGCTCAATTTGATTTGATCACTGTTTGCCAAGTCTCCACAAATATCCCAAGGCTACACAACGTGTAACCTATGAACTTTACTTTAAAATGTCTGCAATTCTTCTATATTAGGTTTCTTTTCACAACTGAAAAAAAAAATCTTTCCAACTTCATGTTCTGCATCTCTTTTCTAAATATTATAAATTATTACAATGATTTTGATTCACATTTCCCTTTGCATTGTCTTCAAATTGAATATTCCCATGTTAACCAAAACACTAGAACCTTTGGATGTTATCACGCATAAACACTGACTGAAACAGACTTGGCAAAAAAAATTACTTTCCGACATCAGCAATGAGCAATATTACCTTTAACATTGTTACTTCAAGGACAGTCAGGCACAATGACCAAAAACAATCCACAGAAGCAACTCAGGAACACTGAGTGTGAAAGGACGTTTAAGATATTAAGCATCTGATTAAATACCGTAGGGGTTATGTCCCTGACAATGGCAAAGAGACTTCAGATGATGTAACGTCCTTTCAAGTTCTATTCTCTTAGGTATGAAACAGTCAAGTCTAATAGCTTCAACAAATATCAACCCTGCATTCCTTCATAGCAGTATGATCCCATACTTCATATGTTTAGAAATATAAGAGCTCCCTCTTCCAGAGGGGAGAGAAAAGTAGCCAGCAAAAAAGCTAAGGAACTATCTTCATACTGAGACATGTGCATTCTTTCAGAGAAAGAGGTTCCTACTCCTCAGTTATCTGACTTCAAGAGACATCGTCCATCTGAACAGTTACCCTGTGGATGTACGCACTCTCATCACCCAAGGTCAGATAACTTCTCCCTGCAGAGTGCTACAGAGCTCTACTACCTTCACATACAACCCGTCACACCTCAAACACTGCTGATATGAAGTACGCAGTCCACAGCTCCATCTGATTTCTGTCCCTGCTGTAGAATCTAAATACTACAAGCACTGCAGAAGTAAAGTGAGAAATACTTGTGGAAAAGGGAAAAACAAGGCAAACCCATCCTGGATTCATGTAATAAAAGACTCGCCACGCTCAGGCACCAAGCAGCCTCTATAAGCAAAAGCTGAAGTCAGGGAAGTTTGGGTCAATTCCAGAGCTCATGTCAAATGAGTAGCACAGAATTTTAAGGAAGAGAAGGTGAGCCTGATTTCAGCCATTTGTTGACAGCATACCCTTGAGGAAGCACAAAATGGTGACAAGGCTGCAGGTTTTAAATGCTCTAACACTGACTTTGCTAAATGTCCTGGACTCGCATTTGGCAGGCTGGTTTTACAGACATATGTGCAATAGCCTGGCAAACTTCTACAGGGCTCAATCTGTTGGAAGTTAAGATTTAACAAAAAGCTCAATTCCCTCTGCTCTCTCTGACAGTAGTTCTCACATTGTAAATCCTCACCCATGTCTAGTTCAGGGCCAGCACCAAGAGGTCAACAGGTGGTATCTCAGACCAAGACAGCAGACAGCCCTACTAATAGACAGAACATGACAAAATTTACAAAAAGTGATCCAAAGAAGAATCCATCAAGGATGTAGGATTAAAGAAAAACAAAACAACAACAGCAAACAAAACAAAAAAACATGACAAGGTATTTTGTCGAATCTGAAAAGGGTCTAAGTACATTTCTCTTACATTTTTACAGTTCTATTTAGTGTAGCTAAGCACAGGACAACACAGAATACAACCTCTAGAAATCCTGTAATTTCTCTTTAAAATACTAATGAAGACACAACTGCTTCGAGATACAAGCTTAACTATCATCAACACTAGCAGAATATTTCAATCCGACTTAACGTCCGTTTAAGAACACCCCTGTATATATGAATAAAAGATCTGTGCATGTGAGACAGAACACACCGAGAAACTTTTCATCTTGTACCTTTGCTCTTCCCTGAAGAAAAGGCATGAAGCTTCTGTACAGGTGTTCTGTACACTTCCAACAGCTTCTAAAGACAACCACCAAAATTTTTACAAATTAATATTTTCTTACCTAATTCTTTTGGTGGCTGGATCACCAGAACAATACCGTGTCAATTCATTAACTGGCTGAAAGTGAGGGATGCCAGAAATTCAACTATAAAAGCAGTCCTACTCTACATTAATTATTTTTATTTTTAGAATAACCCTTTCAAAAGAGAAGTTGTCAATTTTGCCTCAATGGATGAAAGATGCATCTCATTTTTGCTAGTTTCTAGTTAGTAATTTTTGCTTTTGTAGAAAAAGCAATCTTATCACACAAAAAAATCTGCTGAATAATATACAGCAATACCTGTTAAGCTAGGGAAACCTCAACCATTCGGTGATTATTTGATAATACACAGAAAACTACAGATTGAGCATTAAAAGGTCGTGTATTAAAATGCTTCACTTCTGACTGAACAAAACCATCGCTGAATAAGTATTTGTCAGAAAACAAAACAAAAAATCACAGAGACATCTGAAAAGGAGCCCTCAGTATCAGTGATCAGGCATTTTACCTCTCTGCAAGAATCAAGTCATTCTTTTCTCATATTCTTGCACATTTGCAAGAAAATTAGCAGGAGACATGATTGGAAGTTGGCACAAGGCATGTTTCAGTCACTTTAAGTGGTTGTCTTCTCTCAAAGAGGCCAAGGAGGGAGAAGGAGCTATCTGTGCCCTTCTGTAACAGCCAAAATACACAAATGCTGTTATCAGCAGCACAGCCACGAATCTTTCAGAAACACTCCAAGTTTCCCAGCTCGTACCAGCGAAAGCAGACAGAAGATGATGTCCCACACAAGGTCCCTGCCTCAAGCAGGGGTTATAACCAACCAACATACGCCTCCAACCTCCATGACAAAGCATCTCACCTTGTGAACCTGCCAGGCCAGAATGTAAGCTAAGACAGTCCTTCTTATCTTAACCCAAAGAAATGTCACAAGGCCCTTTCAATAAGCTTTCCACTGGGGCTAGTTTTACCAAAAGGAATGCTCTGGCAGCTGAACCTCAAAGGCACCGAGGGGAGGGCACGGACTCGAGCTGCCCTGGGCAGCAATGGTGGTGGCGAGGCCTGCAGGCCCGAGCAGCCGCAGGCCCTGAGGGAGCAGCCAGCTGGGCAGCTGGGGCCACAGGCCTGCCTGCTGGAGGCCTCGGCTTTGCTGCTTTTCAGAGGCACAACTGCAGGAACCCCACTTTTCTGGGCGGCTCCAGAGAGGGACATCAACTTCAGCTGTGAGCGCCAAGCAGCTCTGACAGGTCCGGCTCAGCTCACTAGGCCCCCTCACCAAAAAGCTTCCCCCAGGTAAACTCCAGACTGTTATCCTGAGGGTCAAACTAAGTGCACGCGTTTCCTTTTAATGCTAATTGACCAAGATCAGTACTTCAGAGTTATTAGTTTTAACTGAAAGACCTGAGGCCCATGCCCAGTATGGCTGAACCTTCCCACACCGTACTCAAGCATTAAACGCAGTTAAACATTAAAAGTGCTTTTCCCCGGGGACCCAGCAGAAGCTCTCCTACAGCATTGACAGCTTTGTCTCTAGATCAACATTAAAAATCCCAAGTGACAGAATTCACAGGTATTTTCTTCAGAGACTACCGCACCAGATTTTACATGAAAATCATCCTGTGAAGTTAAAACACAAGATTTGAACTGAACTATCAAAGAAAGAAGAAAGGAAGGGATGACATCAACAGAGCAAACAAAGTAAAATTCATGCTGCGTTCCTAAAGGAAAAAACAAAACCACACTATGCTCAATGCTGCAAATATCAAAAACAAAACAAAAACCAACAAATAAGCTTCATAAATATTTTCCAGTCTACTTGGTCTCTGAAGACCTGACAGAAAGCAGCTGCATTCAGTCTTGAAAATATACCTATAATGTAAAACAACTATGTAACATAGGAAATGTATGGCATCAAATTTTAATGAGTAACTTCTAATTTCTGATGACAAAGAAATTCTGTAATACATTTTCTAAAATCAGTTCCTTTATCTCACAGAGGGGTTTTGAAGATCCTTCTAAGGGTTTCCTGAAGCTACAGGTTTTAGTAGTGGCAAGAACACCATTTCTCTCAAGCACTGAACGTTTCAGTGCATAATTTTAATGTTTGAGAATACTTACTACATCATCTTTTACCCACTAACTACCAAAGAAGAATCCAGGTACGACTATGATCATGTAACGTATTATTTTCAGAACTCCATACACTGTCATTGGATGCACAAGGATAAAACAAAACAAGCATATATTAAAAATGTAATTGCAAGAAGACGGAAAACATTCTGTACAAAAATTAGAACTAGGAAAGAAGCATGGTTGTTTTTATTAATTTTTCGTTATTGTTCTACAACACATCTCCAAGGTATACACAGTTGGCTATGTTTGATCTTGCAGCCACCTCAACACTTTTAAGACACTGTTTCCATCTCTGTAACAAATGTAACCATCTTGGGAAATTTGGGGGGGGGGAAGTGCCTACTGATCACTCTGAAAAGCCTGATCCCCTAAAAGGGTTACCTTCTAACAGATGTGATATTATACTAGCCCTTTGTTAAATACCCCAGGCATAGTTTTCAGTATAACTGCTATACTTTTCTGATTTAATAACAAGACCTATAGAACATGAGAACTCCATACAAATTGATAATTTGAAAATTATAGCGGCTCTGAATAGCACTTTACAGATTCTTCTCATCTCTTCACATTTCAACTTACCTCAGATCCTGGGGAAATATGAGTTTGGCCTGGCTGACTCTGAAGCTGACCATCATCCGGAACAGAATCCACTGCACCGTCATCCTGTTGTGATTCATCGATTTCCATGCTCATCAGTCTAAAAGTAAGTACATACACATCTAAATAATGGAGTACAGAGAGGCACATCAGGCACCTAGAGAGTTTGTATTTGAAGCGTATAACTAACAACTAAGAGAAAATAAATAGATTTCTCTCAGAAGTATCAGATTAACTGAAGGCCTTTCTTACTGTTCCTCTGTATTAAAACACTCATTCACACAGCCAAGAGCTCTAAATCACATACTTTGGAAAGCTGCAAGGCAGGGCAGTTCTGGAAACGGTCCTAAGGGGAGGGCCAAGCCCAGAGTCCCGGGGTCCCATGCAGTGTTGAAAGCGGGGCTGGGAGCGCAGCTCTCCCGAGCAGCCCAACCAGCACCGCCCGCAGCACATGCCTTGTGCCTCACATGTCCCACAGGATAAGGCTCAAATGGACCAGCAGCCGTGCGCTGCTACAGCCCCCTTGAACCCTCTGAGATACCGACCCCTGGGCTGGGATCTGTGCTTGAATTGCCCGTAAACTACTCATGGCTCAAGGCCCACAACTCTTCTCCAACTGATCCTCAGTCTGAACTCCGAGTTTAAACTCCACAGAGAAAGCTTCCAAACAGATTCACTACATAAAAATGCAATTACCTGACAGGTGCTTTTCCATATTTCCTGGCACGCATAATGGAAGGTGCGTGTTTTAAAAGAAGAGCTTGGTTCTCTTCCGCTCCCTCTCTCTCCTACCAAACCCTGCACTGAAGATGCAACACGGAACAGGTGATGTCACAAACATTGCCACGGCAACCGGTCAGTTTACAAACAGAACAGAGACAGGCTGGGGTCAGGCAGAGGCAGGCAGGATGCCCCGCTGGCACGCTCCCACCTACACCTTCCTTACACAAGGAACTGAGGCCGCAAAAGGAAGGCACAGTATAGTACTGGGATTGAAGAGGCAGCGAATCTCGCTTCCTCGGGTTAGTTACTGTAACTAGGGGATGGAGAACCCATCTCAACTCGAAGTTCAACCGTTTCAACTGGCTGAGAGTTACTGCAGTTTCCTCTCAGGTCTTACACCAAGAGATGGAAGAGAAGGGGAAGGAAGTTTGCTTACAGCGCCTGACTGAGGCTCCTGAATTTGGTCCCATGTGTTCAAAATTAACTATATTAAATCAAATCAAATGTTAACTCCTTTTGCGGCCCTACAGAATATTCCACAATCTTAAAGGAGAGCATTTTTTTAATTACCCTTTTTGCCTAGAATAAAGGCATGAAAATATGAAAAGGAATACAGTCAAATGATGCAGAGAAGCATATTTCTAGCTTGTATTTCTCCAATGGCATCCTACTGAGCAGGCTTAACAGTACCACAGCTCATGTTAGCCATGCTGTATGTAATTCAAGATTTTATGAGTTAACAGTAATATTTCTGTCAACAGTAGTTATGGACTCTATACCAAGTTATATACTCTGTGCTTAATTCAGATTAGGTCCAGAAGGAGACATTTTACACTTAGATATTTCTATACTCCTATCTTGTGAGTGACCACCAATTACCTTCTCTAGATACCATCTAACTAAAGATCTGTTGAAATTCACTGAAGTTGAACAAGTGTGGGGAGAATGTTTTCACCAAGCTTTCCACCATAATGTCCCATAAAGAGATGTCTATTTTATTAAATCATTACAGTGTTATACACATACATTTAATATAGCAATAAGAATAAAACAGCAGGGAAAAAAAAAAAAATTCCTCCTTAGTAAGCAAGGCCATCCACAGAGTCTCAAACACAAAAGCTCTATCTGGTTCACGTAAGAATGCCTCCATAAGCTTCAGAACAGCTCACACAACAAGGAAGATTAACTAATGCAATGGTACTGGCAACATATTCGCTGCAATCTCTTCCTAAAGATGGGAATATAGTCAGAATTAATTCACTTTATACAGGCTTTGAAGTATTTTCTTATCCAAAGCCATCTGTCACAGTTAACGTACTGGTGGAAAAAACCCCGACAAAAAGTACTTTTATTCCCACTGAATCCATTCCATAGAAATTTGACATAGAAAGAACCATTTTTCATTTTGTAAAAAATAAGGTCTCATTTATAAATTTTAGCTTAATTCCTCATTGATTGCAGAGCACTATAAAAGATATTTATTTTTACTACATTGATTTTTCTCATGTCTTTACATCTGCTGTGTTCCAGTAACTGAATTAGCAAACAGCCATGAAAGGAGCGTCAGCACAAAATCTAACAAAAAGGTATTCATAGTATTTTACAAAATACATTATAGACAAAGGACTAGTTTTTTAGATTACATTAAATTAGAAAAACAACAGCAAATATTATACATGCCAGTGAAATGACAAATATAATTAAGGCTTATAATATGCATGAAAACCTGAAGAATTAAATAGATTTTCCATCTACAACTGTGTATATTCTGAGTCAACACAAATGATTGCCAATTTTAAATCTTCAGCAAAGTGCAGTAAAATCTGAAAATTTGTATACTGCTTTTAATTAATTGGGTTTTTTTGAATGCCATAAAATGCAATCATAACCCTAGAATACAGCAAAAATACTCCTTCTAGATGAGCTAATATCCATTTCTTTTTGACAACCTGGCAATTACAGTACATTTGTAAACAGACACTTGGCTAAAAACGCTGTCCAAACACAATGACCTCACTATGGCCTGTAAAACTGAAACAAAAGTAACAAAAGGCATCAGTAATTTTAAAAGAAACACTAGCTATCTTGGCATAAAACTTCAGTTAGAAAAAGAAACAAACACAAAACTCAGACACATTATAAAACGGGGACTCTGGGTAACCACGGGGGATTACAGAACTCGCTGGCGAAGGTCCGCGGCAGCCACTGGAGCTCATGGGGTGGGAGGCAGCACGGCCGCACGGAGCTACGGCAGTTCAGAGCGCTTCGGGCGCAGCTTAGACCACGCACATGCTAAAAAACTCCTGAATTCTACAGGGCAGTCCAGGTTATCGCTGCCTTTAGCGCACCCTCAGCAGCTCTCCAACTGCTACAACCTGAGTGGTACAGGTTTTGTATTTCCTCTGTTATCTCGTGTATCATTTTACCATTAACACGTTCAATGGATTTAATAAATACACAGAAAAATAGAGAGCAGGATCACAACTAGAGCGTTGTGTTTTTTTCCTAAAACATCAGTAATATGGACAGTGGTATGTGGACTGTGTTAACATTATTAACACAATCCAGAAATGACCAACATAAACAGTTTCCATGTGCGTCATGCTCAATCAGCCTATGCTGCAAGGAATTTCTAAGACATTTACCACTTTTAGGTTTCAAGGTAGGAAAAAACAAAAATCTTCTGCCAAGCACTCAAAATCCTTTGTAAAAGTCTATCACTAGTAGTACACATCACACTAAAGTTTTCATTACCTTCCTCCTATTTTACAGGAAAAGCAAATAAAAATATTTTAAAGTTTATGTTCTTATGTACTGTTTAAAATTATATGTCTTTTCTTCATTGCATGATTAATTATGTACAAGCTTTAGTCTTAGTATTAATATATTAATTTCTTAAGTTTTCCACCTTGATTGCCTACCATCACTGAACAGTAAATTTAAATATTAGTCTGGATTTTTAAACTAATACACATTATATCTCTCCCTTCCCATAAAGAGGGGGCAAAAAATGACTTTCCATAATGTAGACAAAGGTACGTTTGTTTCTTCCAACAAAATAGCACGGAAATCTTCAGGATCTGGAGGAGGTTTAACTGTTAACTAGCTAGTAACATTTCAGTATATGTTAGCATGTGTTTACCACAGCCACTGACACTAAGGTGCAGTAGGTCAGCAGCAGGGAAACACTAGTTAAGACGTGTACAGTGCATATCAAAAGCTTCTTCAGTTGGTAGCAGCAGCGTCCCCGACAGGGCAATAGTGACAGTCAGCATCAGCTAAAGGAAAACGCTGCCCAGGTGACCTAGAAAACTGCAAGACTTTTACAGCTAAAAGTGTGAACCTTTTACATTTTCGTCCACAGGTAACAGGTGAAGTATCCCTATCAAGATACGTTCTTGTGCAAAAAAAAATAAAAATTCTTCCACTCCCTCTCAGTACTAATGTCTGGTTTACAATTAAATCAGTGAGTATTTATACACATTTAATGTCTGTTGGTGAAATTAAAATGCATAAGCAAACTGGCACAGTATTTTCCATAGCTAGAAATGTGTGACTGTCTAATTAAATACCCAGAGACTTGTAAAGACAACTTCTTTATTTCAACAATACACATCGGAGACTGTTTACAAGGGTGGCTTATTACAAAGTTAATTGAAATGTTTCAGCCCTTGCTTCAAAACTCTTTGAAGGCTTTTATTCACAGGGAAGTTACTAGAAAGTAAGGTAAAAAACACCTGTTTTGCATTTATTGATGACCCCACAGTGAGTGTGGAAACTCTCAGAATGCACTAGATCCAGAAGATCGTTGTGGGTTTAGGTATGAAGTCTATAATCTGTTTTACCGCGCTGCTGTGGGAAGCACACCCGCTAGCATCAGGTAAAACCAGCGACAGTGCACCAGATCTGATTATGAAATGCAGTCTTTAAGTTTTCGGTACCAGCAGAACACCAAGGTTCTTTTGTCTCCTAAGATCTCATGTGTTTCCCTCTTTTCTTCCCCATCCTTTTCTTTCTAGATCTTAACAAAGCCCTCCAAAAAATAAATTTAAAACCCCCAGCTGGCATTACTGTAAGCACAAGCATGCTACCTGTCGCTCTGCATTCGCCACCCCAATAATCCGGGCAAGACCGTGCTGCTGCCTGCGGAGAGGACACACGGTGCCCGTTCAGAAGAAGAGTCCAACCAGTCCCTGAACAGGCAAGAGGATCACTTGCAATCCTGTGCAATCGTTTATCTCAGCACCAAGCAAGATGCTGCCGCGCCAGGGGTGGATGCAGACGAAACCCTCCAACTTCAAGCAAGACCTGGGACTCACGAAGCTCACCCTTATCCTCGCCCACCTGCTTTCTTGTCCCAGCCCAGAAAACCC